ATTTGAAATTGGAACTAGATACACTGCATTGTATTTTTAAATTACACAAACTTAAAATACGTGCTAACTCGCGGATGGTTTGCGTTGCACTAATTTAAAAAAAACGTGTTAAATGTATTCAAAACTTGAAACCCATAAAACATATCTCCCCCATTATTAGTTTATGGGTTGCGACTGTTACTGGGCTATTATGCTGTTATTTTTCTGTGTATTGGTGTTTGTTTTGACTGTGTGCGGTGGCCTGGCTCACCAATTTGGGGTACCATTACAAAACGCTCCTATTGAGTTGAACTCGCTATACACTTTTAAGTGACTCTATTATCGCTTGTGAGATACAAGTTTTTGTATTGTGTTCATTTTGTTTAACTAACACTAAGTTTATTGTTAATATTCTTGGTAGACATTTGTTGTAAGTTAATAATAAACCATAATTATGAATTTTCGTACGAGACACAGGGCTAAAGTAGCTATATAAAATAAAAATTTGTAGATATATTAAATAGAATTTGTAAGCAATTACATAGCCATAGAAAACGGAACGTCAGCGATAACTTCTAACGAATAAATATATGGACGCAAAGACCTATCTATATGATGATTTCAAATATTTTAGATACGGGTACGAAACTGATAATAATGATTAACGTTTTGAAATATACCTACTACGTATTAGAGGTTGATATAAATTCAATTTTAATTTATGTACAATACAACATAACTAAAATACAATCTACATAATATCTACGTAGTATGTGGCACCTGCAATGTACAACACGTAGCTTATAAAGTCGAGGGACCGAAGTAGAGCAACGTTCCAAGCGTACCACCGGAGTGGGATGCGCCCGCATTCAACATTTGCTCTACCTGAGTACTTATAGTGGGTACGACATATTAATACCTATTTCAGTTACAAATGCGCTACGAATTACAATTAATAATGTCATCACATTATTATATCGAATTGTTTTATTCAAAAATATTTGCAAAATGGAAAGTAAAATTCCTGTCATGATTTTTTACTACTATAATATTTATTTGTGATTTATGTATTTTTATTGTTAAAATAATTACCTACCTACAATAATGTTTATTTCCAATTTATAATATTTATCTGTCAATGATAAATCATTTAAAAATAATCCAAGGGAAGTTTCTACTGCTGAGCTAATACAGGTTTTTTTTATATATCTAAATACACTCAGAGTGAAATGAGAAGGATTTTTTTATAAAAATTACTGCATTTTTTAGGAATATGTATTATAATAGCCAGTCTGATCCCAAACACCAAACAACTATGTTCATAACACAATTATTTTTCTCTGGTAGAAATAGAACCTACGATCTCTGGCAGCAATCTGGATCACTGACTAACCACTACTAGTCATACGACATGCAGACCCGTCAAATTAAAAATAAAGTTATTACAAGTTTATGCACACACATTTTTTATTTGGGTTTTATTTAAAAAAAAATGAATTTTTTTGTCTGTCTTACATTTTTTTTATAAATGGCCGATATATTTATATTGTATACACTTACATACATACATAACAAGCAAGAAGGTGTACGTTTAACAGAATATTCAGTGAGTACAACCAACTTATTATTACAATACCTCATTTCCCTTTAATAAAGGTGCATTTATAATCATTCGGTGCCCAAGGCAATATACAGTCGCCAATTTGGAAACTTGTTTAGAAATTATAGGTCCAGCTTGTATGAGGTTTAGGTTCGGTTTTAAAAGCGTACTGAAAAATAATAAGGAATGAGAATAAACAAGCTGACACTTGTTTTGAATTGTGGGTTCCGTGAATATAAATTATGTTTGTTGTTAACTTATCACGGCATTTTTATATGAATGATGTTAAGTGGTTTAGAATGAAAACATGTCATTTTTGCGTTATCAATTTAGATTTGAAATTCTGCCAATCCTATTTAAAACTTTTTGTTAGTCAGAGATCTACTATGTTCTAGAATTTATATCTTCTTCAAAACTATTTACTTAATAAAAAAAATCAATGCATTTAGTACACATTATAATTAGGAATGTCTAGTGCAAATATTATAATGTAATACAAATTTGCATAATTAAATATTCATAAAAAAAATTACAAAAATTGTTAAGACAATATTATTGCCAATCTATTTACAAAACTTTGTTTGTCGAATTCCCTTTTATTCTTACGTATAAATTATTATTTAGCGATTTTTTAGGTAGTGCATTTTTAGAATGACCTAAAGTAATATCATTATTAATAGTAGTGGTATTTAATAATTATACTCGTAAAGGGGTCTATTTGGTGGAACCGGTTTTAAGTAACTGCTATTAGTTTTTATCGATGATTAGCTGTAAATATTCATTTATAACGAAAGGTTAGTAGCCGTATTACTAGGTTAATATGCAAGCGTTTAGAGACACACTTGCTTATTGAAATAATACTTATACGTAATATGTTTTTTAACTTTTTTTATTTATAATGTGCAATGCGTTGTTATATAAAAGCAGAAACAGTTTAGTAAAAATAGAGTTAAATATTTTATGTAGCCTTTATTAAATTATTATTTCATAAATAAATTTTATTATTAGATTAGATATTGAGAGTTTTGTGCAAGTGAGTAATAGCAGTCGAAGATTGTAAATACTAGGAATGAATTTAGTCACGGAGCTATGAAAATGCTAGTTATAATACACCTAATAAAATTATTTTAGTTGATAGTAATTATAGTACTTTTTTTCAAGCAGTAATTAATGTTTTTCAGTAAAGTTAAGAGGCACGTGACATATTTTTTTAGTGAAAGTGAACGTGGGTCAAGAGATCGTGTTCACATCGGCGGACAGCGGACAGCGTGGACAAGTCCGAACTTTTCATACAGCCCACGTCCAACAAGCGTCCTTGTATTGTTTCGCGGGTCGTGTTGCGTGAACACCGAGTGAAATATGGCCGACAGTTCAACTACTTATTTTTGTTTTTATTTTTTTAGGTCGTGTTACTTAATTTTATCAAGTCGCATGAGTTATGAGAGGCGAGACCACACGCGTTGCGTTAATTACGCGTTAGTAATGTTCAGGTGAGTGGCTTGCATGCAGCCGCCATCACTGATTCCAATTACCACGGTTCCAATTTTAAAAATCGAACTGGAATTCGACTGTTTGATAAAGTAAGTTAAAATAGAAAATCCAATTGGAACATCTCTATTTTAAACATATCACCAGTTGGAACGTCACGATTAAAATTCTAACAAGATTAAGAGGAATTCTATTCTGTATCTATTTGTTAGGGATGCTCTGATACAGGAATAAGTGAAAAGAAACTAGTTTTTAACACCTCACTAAAAATTTCGGGAGTAGGCCATTAGTCATTTTAAATTATCCAGTGTCCGGCTTTTATCTTAAGAATCGGTTATATAATCGAATGGTCATTTGTCGAGTGGTCAGTGGCACTCCTCAAGTTAATAATAATACGCCCAAACTAGATCGGGCCATTGACCCGGGCGGGCGGCGCGGGCGCGGCGAACACTCCCGCCATAATTTGGAGCGCTAAAATGCTACTGAAGATGTTTAAAAATCGAACGTCTTATATCATAACTTTTACCAAAATCGATTATCGATATCAGTAAAAGTTATGTTGTGTTTTAGATTCATCAGTATAAACATAAAGGTTTTGAAAACAGACTCACTGGTTATTAAGAAGCGATGGATGCAATATACTGGCGTCTATAGCATAATCATCGATCATAAGTTATTTTTTACTTTCTTAATTAGATTAAATTTCTTTTAAATTTTATCACATTTAATCGATAAAGGCTCTTTCGTTAAAAAATTTCAATGTTTCCAAAATTTTGGTATTTTAAAAGAATTATATTTGATTATGTACCTATGAATGTAATCGTTTCATTTCTTTATTGTACAAATAAATTAACTCCAGTAGAATTAAGAGTCGTAGTTGGATGAATCTTTATAACTGTTAAGGATTTAAAGATTGTATATTTGTTTCAATGTTCAGAATATTGATTAGTATGAAATATAGTACTAAAATATTGTCTGTGTTGTACGGTAAATATAAGTAGTTGCGAATAAAAACACTGATAAATAATTAGTGCAATAAATAAAAATAAACAACACTTTCAAATTGAACCATCATAAAATTTTGAATACTTAGTTCACTAGTTTTGAATACTTACGTTTATAACGTATTAAGTTGAAAACAAGCCTGTATTTTTTTTAAATAAGTAATGTAAATGACAAAGATTTATTTATTTAAACAAATAGTTATGGTCACATTGTATTTATATGCAATCGTATTAAATTGTATCCAATCATATTATTTAGATAACATCAACATAAATAATAATATGAATGTAATATAGTTTCAACGTTTAATAAAGTTTATTAAGTTTTTCCTTTAGATTTTTTTATGGTATTTTACAATTAAATCGGTTTTATAGCTCATTAATATCACATAAAACTCTATATCTATTTATTAATTGAAATATAAAATTGTAAATAGATTAAAATCATCTATTAAATTGAACTCGAATCAATTCCATCTTGACGTTTATTTATTTTTTATTATCACAAATTAGTAATTTAATGAAGATTCCAACAGTTGATGGCAACAATAAAATTATAAATGGCACTCAAATCTGTCTCGACTAATAAGGTGCTAACGAGGGTTGTTCGTTTTATGTGCTTTTTATTGACACTTGAGTCGAGTTGCCGGCTCGAGCCTACCTGCCACCGCTCGTCTTATTGGTTTTCTACGAGTCTTGAATGGGAATTTCCGATTTGGTCCCCGCACTACAATCGAGTAGCTACATTTTAGAGCTTTACTGAGCGATATCGGCTAACGTAAGGATGTTTCAAATGCTTATTAAATAATATTGAGCAATTAAATTTGTGTAACACAGCCATTAAAGTTTTTACGATTCTTGTAAAACAAATGAGTAGATAAAATCAATGTAAAATTCAATATGCGGTAATAAGAAAATATTTTTGTGCACTAACCTGCTATGGCCATCCAAGGGTAGAAGGTGTGATTGGTGGGCTGGTGTTGTACGGGCTGTGCTGCTGCTGTAGCGGCTCCTGGTAGGCCGCACTGGTTCCCCCACGGTAGAGCTCTTCCTGGACTCGAGGACTCGCTGTACCGTGCCTCAGGGGTACATGCTGCTGGCCTCACAAGCGCTCCTAATCCAGAACCCCATGCCTCTTTTCCACCATAGCCATTCTGTTGTTCTCCACCAGGCTTGGAACAGTCTGCTTTAGCGTACTGTTGCTCTCCAGCATATAGTTTACATGCAGCCGCCACTGATGCATCGTATGGAGAGTCTTGTGGACGAGGCTGGTGCAATGCATGGGGTTGTGCGTAGGTCAGACCCAGTGGGAAACCGCGGTACTGGTCGCCACCGCCACCGCCCTGGTGTACTCCATGGGCCCCGTAGAAACCACCCTGCTCGAAATAGGAGTTCATTCTGATCAGTCACCGACACTAACGTCACTCAGTTAGAGAACACTTATGTCATCGCGGCCCCACGCGCCGTGATAACGCGACCTCGGCCAATGTCACTCCAAATACGGACAATGTAATTTAATTTTATTAATTTTATTGCCTCTTAAACGTCACTCGAGCGTCATAATGGGCTTCGTTGGCGATAAAGGCCAGTTGACGTGTGTTTACTTTTTACGATTATTTTACGACTTGGGAGCGCGTGCCGCGGATTTTACGACTTTTTAAGCGGTTCGATGTGCGGCGCCGGCTCGTCTCGGAGCTGTTGTGATTTTTTCTTAACAATTTTCAGTTCACGTGGTGTGGCAGCGGTAAGCCGGTGCGAGTGGATCGCGAGCGAAGTTTTGAGTCGCGTGTGGCGGGAGCGCGCGACTATGTGTCGTGTGCGACCGGCGCGGCTCAGCTCACGCAATCTACTGAGAGCGGGCCACGCGCGCCGCCCCGCGCGCTGCCTGCATCGCAACACACCCGATTGTTCCGTCCCCTTTTCGCTAATGACTATAAATATTATCAGTTACGCTCTCTTTTCCCTTTCTTATCACTCCTACTCAAACACGTGCACCATACCTATTGCTATTAAACTTTACAATAACTGTGCATTTTTATTTAACTTCCTCTAATCACCGAACCTACCAGCATCTGTGATTCTATAATGTGAAGCTGACAACTACAGTGGTCATTAATTGTAAAAAAATAAATCATACTATGCCATCCTTTCATAACATGTAACAACAGCTACTTAAGTTGTCAGCCCCCGCAATACAAAATATAAAAAAAGAGCATCGACAAAACCCCAATAATGACTATAACTGAAAAGTTAAGCCGCAAAAGTCGTAAACTCATAAACGTACAATTAGTGAAACGGGCGAGTAAAGAAAAGATTTTACAACCACTCCTCGACCGTGCCACAATGAGCGCGCAGTATCGTAACAAGGTGCTGAATAGAGTGAGAAGTCGTAAAGATGATTATTATTTCTTCTACTACCTGTTTTTACGAGTGATGTTGCTATTACACTCTCGCGCGCGTGGTGCGCTTAAGTAGGAGGGAGACGGAACTGGAGCAGCGAAACGCTTATCGCGCCTACGGAGTTGCACAACGTATTTGTATCTCTTTCTAGCGTAGTGTGGCGCGTGCAGTGGCGCGACGCACTATTGAAGAGTAAACAATAGCGCATTATCGCAAGAGCACTCAGTTGGCGCGTCTAAATGAAGCCATCAAACGAATGAATGGCTTTGGTGGTGCGGCCTACTCAGAGACACGCTCACATTTTTATTGCACTCACCTCTTTAAACAAATATTTGTTGATAACAAGAACGGGGATCGTCCAAGTAGCCATTTTATTGTACGACAATTTAATTGGCCCCTTGATAGCTCCTTATATAGTCCGTCTATTTCTATGATTGTAGATTTTATTTTACATTTCATGTTTTTCGTAAATAATTAGTTCAGATGTGGCATTTTATCTGAATCTCGATCATTCTCCATTATATGAAAATGTAGTTGAAATAGAGTAATAAAATAAAACGTAATTAGTGGCTACCGGACGCCATTATAAGAGTATTAAAATGTGTATTCAGAGGAACTAGTAGGTAATATTGTTCAGTAACTACTTACTCGTAGGTTAGATACCTACACTTCATCATCGATAGTCGAAAGTTTTAAAATAAACGTAGGTAGTAGCAGTTAAAAGGTATCGTAGAAACTGAGTAGGTACTTACCTATGGAATAAACTATAAAAATACACTTTTATGAGTACCACATTAAAACGTAAAAACACATATCTTCCATTCCCCTACTTTCTGTCTTCGTCTTCATCGTCTGTCTTCGTCTTCGTCGTCTGTCTTCGTCTTCGTCGTCTGTCTTCGTCATCAGAACATCGTTATCAAAACCGCTACTATGTTGGACTCGTAAAATAAACAATAAGTCTAAGAATACACTAGAGGAATTTACTAGTGGATGTTGAACTGTTGAGGAGTTGGTCTGTACAGCTCCTCCAGATGTCATCATCAGGTCAGCCACAAGGTAGTAGCTACAAACCTATAAAGTTTGATTTAGGCAGGACTAGCACAAGTAGGTTCAAATAAAGGTACCTACTTGTTTTTTATTTAGTCCCAAGTGAAGTGAAGTAATAATAAAACTGTATTGAAAAGCTTTTGTCAAATTTCCCACAACCTCATAAGTGTTGCGTCTTAAAAAAAAAAGAAAATGTAGGTATCCACATATTTCAAAATTTTCGCATAGACAAATAAACAAAACAAGGTCTTTACCTATTGTTTTTCCAAAGATAGGAAAAACCAAATTATATATAAGTATAATTTGGTTTTTAACATACATAAGTGACTCTACCAAAAGCTATCATTAATACAATACCTAAGTTTCTTAAGTTTAAGTTCAACTAAGGTTTGTGCTCTGAAATACTCATCATCGTCAATCAGCATCAACAGCCTTTAATAGTCCCCTGCTGGACATAGTCCTCTCCTTAGAAAGGCGGTTTTACCTTAGGTACTATACCACGCTGCCCAGACGGGTGAGTACCTATAGGGTTTATTTCTAGTTTTCCTTTCCTTTCCAGTACTGTTGTCCTCCGTAGTTTGCTCCCTTAGTCGGCTCTTACGACACCCACGGGATTAACAGGGGTGACACTCCGTATTCTTCATCCGTTACCGCACGGATCTAAACACTGCTAGGGTGATATCAGCAAATGTTTAGAGAATGCGTTATCACTTATCTGTCTGACTGTCACAATCAAAGACTGCAAAAACTCTTACTAGAGTGTAAGTAGGTACCTACTTTCATAGTCGGATCGCATCAAAGCTTTACCTGTTGAAATGTTCAAAATCAATCATAATTACACTTGAGTTTTACTACAAGACACTGAAGTGTTAGACTGTCCACATTGACTCGAACATCGGCAGGTCAATTCTCGTAAAAGGTAAAAGTTCGGTCACAATTCAGTTCTGATCAACTCTCGATCTCACATCTGTTATGAAAGGTTTTTTGTAGTAGGTAAAGTATTAAACATCCGTTGACTATAATGTGATTTTATCGTATTGTAAACAAAAATTGAATCGGTCAACTTATTTCTTTACTATTTTACTACAAAAATACCTTTTATGAAAATTAATTTTGACCAAACTTTTATAACGAGTTGAAATTCAGATCAACTTCAAGATGTCAAATTATGTATCTGAATTACATATACCTGTACGTACAAAGTTTAAGACGCGAGGACTTGAAAAAGTACTGCAAATGACTATTTAGTACAAATTCGCAGTGATTTCAAGTCTATCCGATTTATGTTTTGCTAATGTTTTTAGGCCTTAAGACTTAAACTACAGAGTAGTAAAATTAACCCATTTTGCACTTAAAAAGGCCCTTTGATTGATCGCCTTATATTTAACTATAAGTAAACTTGAGTCCAAAATCGATCTAAGTGGCGTGCAATGGGAGAGGCCTATGTCCAGCAGTGGACTGCGATAGGCTGATGATGATGATGATGAAACTTGAGTCGCTTTGTTACAAAATTGTGACTAACGAAAGAGGTTTAAATTGTCAGCTTTCATTGTATGGGACGCTTTTAACATGTGCTTTTTATAGATAATTAGGATCATTTTGTTTACAGAGCAAAATATATCATAGTTTTAGTTTACATGTACTAGTTAGTCGTCAATTAGGTATCTTTTATTTAGCAATTTGATCAAAATCATAAGCACTGAGTTTTTATTTTTATTTATAACTAAAATGAGTACCTATTATGTGCACTAGATTTGATATAAGGAGCTTAATAACACGAATTCTAGTAAACTTTAAAAATAAGTATGTAGCGTCTTGTCTAAAATTTTAAGAAATATTCAACAACTAAATAGAAGATGAAAATCTTTGAACAATATACAAGGAAAAACATAAGAGATTAATACATGTTGGTAAAAAATCTCTTTAGACATTACCTAACATGTTGATTGGGTCAATAAATGTAGATAGTGCTCGTATTTTCATTTATCAACCCCGAGAAGAAGCGCCGAAACTGACTAAGTATGCGAATTTACATAGACTCAAACTGTGCAAGTGCCATGCAGGCGTTGGTATTTTTATGAAAGAACTATTCACCCAGTAGACTAGACCAACTTAATAATCCTGGCACTCAAACACATTTTATGTAGCTGGATGTCTCACAGTGGTCTATCACAGTAGTCATACATTTGGATAGGTCAATGAAAATATTTAATGGGCATGAATAGTGTAAAAAAAGAAGTAAAGTGTAAGAATGCAAAGAAAACCAACTCAGTTAAACTTATCTAACAGAACACTATTCCTTATTCTCCAACTCTAAGCTCACTGTAAACATGTCCATTAACAGTATTCGTAGAAAGGAAAAAAGGAGTAAACTGAATGTTATCGAATGTTTTAGATGTTGTCCTATGGAACATTCTTTATTAAACCTAGAAAAGAAATTTCCTAATAATCGTTAAGAACAGTTTACGAAATTATATTCTTCAAGCATGATAATTAATGTGTAAATTAACATAGAGTAGGCCGACTAAAAATCGAAATCGAACACCTGACCCAACAAATGTTAGACCACCCGACTTTCGCTGTTATATTAGCCGGAAAATGGAGAATTCCACTTATCATGGCAATAAAAAATAATATAAAAAGTATAAAAAGCTACAAGGCTAATATTGTCGTAATAATAGGCATTGACCTGAAAGGAACCGGACATACTTAGGTTATCAAAATCAAGTATACCTAACGTTATATAATTTATAAAATGTAGGTAGGTAATTGCTTGCAACAGATCTAGTGATGTCACTTACACGTACCTAACCTTACTTTATTTGTTCTATTTTTAATTTTGATACTTAGGCATAATAATAGTATAGCACCTTTAAAAATTATATATATATATAACAAAATGCACAGACATATCATAAAATTAACATAGGTATCCGTGCTTTGCACCAGGCTGGCAATTGAACAAACAATTAACTATGACATGACACTGCATTCGACAGCTCTATCATTTAAGTGAAAATTCAATAATTAAAGCAGTAAACATTTTTAAGTTAAGAAAGTTCTCAAGTTACGTCAGTGAGCAAGTACAAGCAAGTAGGGGAAGAATAGCCCTCTCTAACCAACCTAGATATATTTGGGTTACCTCGGCAACATAATGACAGTAATCTTTGTTGAATCAGCAGGTCCCGCAATTAGATCCTAAATACTCGTAGAGTATTTGAAAAGGAACTCATGTTCTTGGTTGGTAATAACATAGAAATTTTCAAAGAAATTAGTTTTCAACGAAAAAAAAAAATAAGCTGCACGAAGATCCTAAAGAGGTTGCTAGAGGTTGGATCTACAAGTTCATCGTTTGATCTCCATTGATGGCTCAAAAGAAAGGTCTGGTATAGGTTACGGTGTATTCTTTGAATACTTAAATAATTATAAACAACCATAATTTTAGGTGTTCGTAAAGCTGTTTTCTAATCCTGCACGGGCATCATCACAGCGGCTACAGCAACTTTAGCAAGAAACATGGACGAGTACTCTGTTTGAATCGTTTTGGACAAAAAATCAGTAACACAAGTCCTACAAAGCAACATTATCACTTCAAATCGAGCACTTTGAGATACAACTGTCATCAATTCCGGATGGGATAATCAACAACATCAACAACAACGACGTAGCTCTAAAATGGATCATAGGTCGCATAGTAGCCTTTTTGACATTCAAAATAAACGTACAACATTAGTCGATTTGTAAAACAGTGAATTCCATATCACGAACTACTTTATCTTATTTTCGTACCCTCTTCTATGTCATGAATATAATATTTCACAGACAGAAATCCTCCTGACCTCTTTCACTAAAGAGACTACCAGTAAGGTCTCACTTGCCTCTCTAGTATGCTTGTTTATCCCTGCTAGCCTTTTGAGTTCTGTCGTTTCCATATTTCCCGGCAATTTTGAATTTGGAGCTGTTCTATATTCGAATGTGTTTAAATTTTGAATCTCAAAACAGTTGAAAGTATTAGGATTATTGCTATTGTTTAGTCATAGCGTCGATTGGAATCTGTCAGGTTACGTACGAAAATGAATCTTTCTAAGGAAAATGTTCGTGGAATAATTTTCTACAAGTTTAGAAGAGGCTTGACACGGTTTCAGTGTTTTGAAGAGCTAACATCTGTGTTCAGTGATGAAGCCCCATGTCTGCGGACTGTCGAACGCTGGTATTTAGAATTCCAGCGTGGACATACTAGTGTTAGTGACCAATCTCGCGAAGGACGCCCAAAATCCGCCTTCACTGAAGATAACATCATTGCTGTGAGACAACTAATTCTCG